TTTAACCACTATAACAAGCTTGGTGCGCTTGCTGGGAGAGGGATTGGGGCATGCCTTGTGCTCCCTCTGCTCGGCGGACTAAGGGAGGCTACTATCTGTGCTTCAGGCTTAAGGAAACACCCCGAGTTCTCGCAGTGGGCCAAGCACCCTCAAGGTGTACAAGGCCTGTGTACCCGGGGGCGCAGGGCCCGAATAAAGCTCAGACCCCTGGGTGGTGGCAGTGGTTACCCCAGGCTTGCAGGTGTGCTCCAGGAAGGGGGTCGGCCAGACATGAGGTGCCCCAAGGGAGGCACTCAGAGCTTGGTAGGTGGCCGGGCGCAGGGAGGTGGGTGGCTCGGCACAGGAATGGCCCCTGCTGGCCCACCACAAGGTAATGCCCGAGCCAGCCGGCTCTGGGGCATCACACTCGCCAGCCGCTCCCTGCTGCCATCTCATCTTGCCGCGTACAAGGATGTAAAGAGGCTGTTGGCCAGCCCTATGGTGATCCACGTGCGTGTGCGTGCACTATGCGTGCATAATGCAGAGGTAAAGGAGGCTCCACATCGCTGAGCAAACACAGCCTCAACTGAAGCGTCTCTTGTACCTTGGCGGGGGCACGTGGGACGCTCAGATCTGCTTGCGAGCGCAGCGGGGTCCCTTCGTTTCTCCCAGGCACCAGGGCTCAGTCTTGTCCCTCGGCTTCACTCAGCCAAAGGCCTGAGGAGTCTGCGGGGATATGTGGGTGCCCATCTCCATCCTGGGTGGGTGCTAGAGATTCGCAGCTGTCACTGAAACAATCCTGCAATTACCTTTTTTTACAGGCAAAAACCACTCGCAAGGATGTGCCTGTTCCTGGCGGCCCTGCTGGTGCTATACATCCTGCGCCGATGGCACCGGGAGCGGCAGGTGGTCGGGAACCTCCCGGACAAACACGTCTTCATCACGGGCTGCGACTCCGGCTTCGGGCACCTGCTGGCCAAGCAGCTGGACGGGCGGGGGCTGCGGGTGCTGGCGGCGTGCCGGGCG